AACTTCTCAGCGGATTTGGGCTGTATTCAGCAAGCATATTACAGCCCCATAGTCAGATTAAAAAAAAAATCAGTGGATGGCTGTTTACTGACTGGTCAGCAGACTGCCGAGCGGTCGGCCCTAGTGATTGGCTGCAAAACAGTTGGCGGTCGGGGTCGGCGGTCGGTGGGTTTTTTTTTTTTTTTTTTTTTTTCCAAGCCGGGGCAGCGTCACTAGGGGGGGTGATAAGAGCATCCTCCCCTAGTGCGGCGGTCGGTGGGTATGCAACCCTGCTTCTACATAGTTTTTGGCAAAGCGAAAAGGACTGTCTCTGTGAAATATATCACCACAACTCTCAGCAACGTGTCCTAAATTAGGTAAGGGTCAGATTTGAGATTGTGAGTCACATTGAATTGCGGCAGGGTTTGAACAGAGTTATTTTAACCGTTATCTCACCCACATCTTTGTTTGCCTGATTGCATTACATTGCCATGGGATCATTTCTTGTTTGTCCAGTTACCGGGGAAACGGAGAGATTCTGTCCCGTGAAGAGTTTGAGGCCCGGAAGGAAGCAGCTGAGCAAGCGCGTCTGCAGGTGGCTTTTGAGCTTTTGTCTTCACGTTGTCTTTTGTATCCTCATTCCTCTCCTCTCCTTTCACATCCTTTCCTTTTCTTTTTTTTTATAACAAAAAAACAGGGCCGTATGGTCCTGGCTCCATATCCATTCTGGGGAGCATCAGTCCGGTTCCTTTTCCACCAGCAAGTCATGAGAATACAACAAGATATGCACGCATGCTTCCTTTTTCCTGGCTGAAGGACCCCTGAGCAGCGTTGCTTTCGCCATCTTCGTGGAGGGTTGACTATACGCTTGCCTTTATTCTCAAAGTTCTCTCAGCTAGGGGGTACCGCTGTCAGATCTACTTGAAGCTCAAGACTTCTGCGAGAGCAAGACCCTGTCCAAACACCATTGCTCGTTGTTCTTGCGCCCTATCCGTGAACACTCTGATATCCCCTGCCCTTGTCTGGCTATGTGCTCTTTGCTGCAGCCCTCTTCTGCAGGTCCTCCTGGCTGTCCTGTTACACCCAGATAGTAGTCGGTGCTTCTCATGTTCGGGAGGTCTCCCGAACTGTTGCTGTGTCTGAGTTGAAGTAGAGTACACTAACAATACCCATATCAAATTGGGGTACAGACTGTTCATCCAAAGTTCCAACAGAAGACCCCACCGCTGCAGTCAAGAGAAAGATGGGCCAGATCCCTAGGAGATAACCAACCACCATGGACGACATTAAGTTCCGTTGAGCCGATTAAGATTAGAAGGAAGGCCACAATTGCTCATAGCTTTTATGTAGACCTAACTGTTAATCAATGGCTGCATATGTGAAGAAAAGAGACCAATCCACATACCGCGGATATTTATGCAGTATGTTTCGACAACCGACAATGCATGGCCTTCTCCGATGTAAGGGAACGGCTATATAATGGGAGAAAGATTATGACCTATGCGACCGCCTCTTCTCACCCACCTTTCCTAACCATCTGCTTCAGCTACATGTATCGCTTAATATCCTGTCACAATTTCATAACCCCGAAATGTTGTGGTATAAAATGGTAAGGAAGGCGACATTGTTGTGGGCAGTCTGTAAAGAGAGAGGCACAGCAATGGAACACATTCCACAAATCCATCCAAGAGGTGTGATCAACAACCGGAGATGTAATAGAAGCAGAGTTGAGGTGCAAATAGACACATATGGAGGCAGCCATCAAGATAGAAGTCCAGACGAAGAGATCAGGCTCAAGGTGCAGCTCAGGCAAATCTGGCTGGAGAATGGTGACATGGCGAACTTCAATGGCATTCGCCTCAGGTTGTAGCAGTGTCACAACTCAGAAAAAGCACTCACAGGGCTCCAGCACTCCAGTGCAAAGAAGAGGATCCACAATTACGGACGTAACAACGACTGAAGCAAGCACTTACGAATCCGACATTCTATGAATCTCTAGCCGCGACATGCTCGTCGGAGCCTACCAAGCCAAGCAACACAGCATAGGGACGACCGCGACGGGAATCATCTGTGCTCTCATTGTTTTTTCCTATGAAGGTTCCCAATTTTGCGCTCTTATCGTGTCTTGCCTTCCTCATCCACCTGCACTCCTCTTCTTTCTCTTCTTTCTCTTCTTTCTTCTTCTTCTCCTCTTCCTTCTCCTCCTGCTTCTAACCCTCTTCTTTCTTTTTCTCTCTCCTCGTTTCTCCATTTTCTTCCTCTAATTTCATCTTCTCTGGTCCGGTGTTACTATCTGTCGATGCAATGCCATGCTGTATTACAGCCTCTGCTGTCGCGTTTGTGGTTGAATATGAACAGGGTATGGCTACTGTGCTCCTTCCTTCCAAACAAGCAACACAGCAACATACTGCAGCAAGGAGTGCACTGAAACGGTGGTGTCTCCGCTCTGTCCAGTTGTTCTCACCAATCTGGCAGCTCATGTGCCCATGGACTGAGAGGAACCTAAGAAGGGCTAAGGCATGCCCGTTACTCTATCGTCCACCTTTACAAAGAATAAGCAATGCAGTTTCAGGGGATTCTTCAGCGATAAGACTCTTGACTTCCTGATGAAAGACGAACCGAACTGATGCCCCCACCAGAATAGAAAAGGGAGCTGGGGCCTTAAGGCCCTCCTCAGGTTGAAAAACAAAAGGGGAAAAAAGAAATGCGTGATGCCCACTCATAACAGTCCTGGTAGGCACATTGCTATCGTTTTTCCTGCAATGCTTCCATGGCCATTGCCAGTTTTCCACAGCAATTGAAGAACAACCCAAACGAGATGGCGAAAAAAGAAAAAAGGAATGAAGAAAATTTCAAAAAAAGAATGAAGGAAAAGAAAAAAAAAAAACTGATGGGGTCCTTCGGGACATCCCTTAAAATTGGAACGATACAGAGAAGATTAGCATGACCCCTGCGCAAGGATGACACGCATAAATCGAGAAAAATGGTCCAAATTAAAAAAAAAAAAAAAAAAAAAAAAAAAAAAACTGATGGGCACCAAAAGGGTTGTAACCGTCCCAGTAGGAGTATTGTTCTTATTTTTTTCTGCAATGCTGCAATGTCCACTTCCAATTTTCCACAGAAATTGAGGAACAAGCCAAAGAAGCTGGCAAGTGCGGGCAAGGATGTGGACAGGTTTCCCCTGCTGAAGGTGCGTGACGATGACTTGAACAGGAGCTGTTCTGTAGGTCGTAAACTTTCCTGTATCCACGAATACAGATGACTCATCAAACCGGAATGGTCAGAGGAGTCTCCCATCCCTGAGGGGGTAACGGGATGAAAAAGAAGAAAAGAAAAAAAGGAATGATGACAAATTAGTAAATTACTAAATTAGTAAAATTGCTAAATTAGGAATCACTTGAAATTAGATTCTGTTAAAATCATCCACATGGGACATGGCAGAAATACAACACGAGCGCCATCCTAGGCAATAATCTTTTCGAATGGTGTTCTTTTCATTCTGCTGCAGAAAGCATCACTACTGTTTGTGGTGTTTGCAATTGGTTGCTTGGTAAGTTGGCTACAGCTGACAGGTACATAAATTCTTTTTTCTTTTTTTTTTTGAAATGTAATAAGCCGCTCGAAATATGCTTTTGTTGTCGTCCAGAAGTCGTCATTTCAGTCCTAGGGCCGAATCAGGGGCCAATGGCCACATCAGGCCACAGTGATGGCCTGAGCCGAGGCCCGGTGCTGTATGCACCCAACCGAGGCCTAAAAACGGGACTTCAGAGGCTTCAGAGGCCCTGTGCCCGACAGTGGACTAGTCAATAGTCGACTGTAGCTCGGAAATTGAGGCTCATGAGTCAAAGTCTACATGGACCCAGTCCAGGCCATCGATCAGGCTGTTTGCAGGTATCCGTGCAGAATCTGGTCCAAGTGGAAGTCTGCAACTGTGTGAAATCCAGGCCATTGACTGCGGGTCAGTCTGAGCCCTCGTATCCGAGAGACCAGAGGTTGGTCAATCTTAGTCAACACTGCGTATTGACCCAGCCCCTTGCTGCTCGATGCTGGCACGATGCTCGCTGGACTCTGGCTTGACACTGGCATAGTGCGTGACGACGACGCGAGACTGCTGCATTATGTTGCTGGCGCCTCTCTGTTCTCGGCGCCAGCTGGGGACTTGATTGCTGACGTGGCGCTTGCCACATTGACTTCGACACAGATTGGGGTATCGACGATTAGGGAGATCAGGGCTGTGAGATTGGTTGTGTGAGAGAGAGAAACTTACCTGATTATTGCTGTCAACATTGCGTGCTGCTGTGACGTTTTCATGGGAGATCTGTGCCTACTTGGCACTATGTTGTGATCGGTTCTCGCCAGGATCGTCTTTGGGATACTGTACGCTGACGTGGACAGAGGGAAGATGCCCGAGGGAGGAGTGGGACATGAGGGAGATCTATCTTCGATGACATTGATGGATACTTTCTCTTCCACCCTCTAAGTCTTATCTCCCTCCTATCAGCTTCGTCCTTTGGTTACGAGACATTGTGATTATTGGAGACATTGACATGCGGTGAGACGTCTTGTACTTCGACATTGACGAGTTTCTCTCCTGACTGGGTTCAATGCAGAAACAAGAAACGAGTTTTGTATTGAACAATGCTGGAAGCAGGGTCCAGAAATCCCTTACGTCAGATGTACTCACTCTGAGAAATTCTGAGATATGATTGCTAATTTGTTGCTACACAATTGGGAGGATTCACGACTGCTGCACCCCTGTTTTTCAAAATAACTGCGACTGTTTCTGCTGAGAGATCTTGGCAGCATTGATTGCATCCCTTCCAGAAGGATTGACTGTCAGATCTTAATTTGGCTTTTCTGTTTTCTCCCTTTTCTCTGTTCGTAGCTATTTCAAAATCCTTAAGTCTAGTTGGAAAAGATAGACAGATCTTCTGAGCCTTCCTCTCAGTCCGCTGAAGCGGACTAGAATTTGCTCAGTGCTGCTTTTCTGACTGAGGGATTTCTTGAGCCCAAATGTTGTTCATCTAGACATGCTTGACCCTGACGAGTCACTAGTCTACTCCTGATTGGAGTTTTGCCTTTCTTTTGTTTTTTTCCGCGCTCGTGCCTGCATTGGGCCCCCTGTCCACCTCTTGTTTGATCCGAAAACGACGGCACTTGGTGCCACCGAGCTCCACAATGAGGAAGCGCCCCACTGGGGACGCCATAGGCCTCAGCAGGTCTACGCAGAGGCCCCATGTGCACACCTAGGACTATCTAGTGTACTGCTAGGGGCGGCTTTGGCATGTTATGAGTCTCTGTTTTGTCGGGATCCAAAATCAAGAACAGGGTTTTCCACCAATTTCTACAAAGATTTACATACAAGGAAAACCCCAACAGGTAGGCAAAACGAAATACTAAGAGCTAGGGCCAAATTTCTAACTCATCTAGACCGAACAATATCAACGGAAACAGCCAGCAAGCTAGAAGCACCCATCACAATGGAAGAACTGCTCTCAGCCCTCAAGGACCTAAAACCCAATAAGGCACCAGGCAAAGACGGCCTTCGTAAAGAATTCTGGATGGCGAGTTGGCACAAACTTGGCCCCCTCTTCCTAGCCTTCCTCAATAGAGCCTGGGAAAAAGAATCTCTCGGTCCATTGCTAAGTACAGGAGTAGTGACCCTTCTATACAAAAAAGCAAGTAAAGAGGACATCAGAAACTATAGACCTATCTCCGTACTAAACGTATCCTACAAAATCCTAGCCAAGCTCCTAGCCTCCCGAATAAACCGAATGACAAGTGGTTGTTTTCATATTAACCAAACATGGTTCATCCCAGGCAGACTCATCTTAGACAATGTAATGGCCCTCAGCAAGTCCACCAGAATAATGAATCAAAAGAAGCTCATAGCAGCAGTTCTCTTCTTCGATTTTGAAAAAACATACGATCAGGTCAATTGGGACTTTCTCCAATCCTGCATGGAAAAAATGGGTGTCGGCGCAATCTTCCGGAAATGGGTAAGGGTACTATGCAATGAAGCACAAGGAATAGTACAAATCAATGGTTTCTTTTCCAACCCGTACAAAATGTCAAGGTCGGTTAGACAAGGAGACCTACTAGCAACACCAATCTTCCTTTTCGTAATGGAAGCCATTGCAGCCTTCCTAATAAAAGACCCTTCCATAGAGAGACTCTTGAACATCAAAGACAAGAGAGGACAACCTGTACATATTCCTACCACCCTCTTATTCGCAGATGATCTCACCGTCTTGATTAGGGCATCCAACTCATCATTCCAAGCACTAACAAGGCCAATGCAAGCCTTCCAACTGGCCTCTAAAATGAAAGTGAACTTGACAAAAACTATTGATTGGTGGTTCTAAGAAGCCCCCCCTCCCACAAAACTCTCCCCAGAGGGGATGCGCTGGGCAGATCTATCCACCCCGATCCGCTTCCTAGGAATCAATTTAACACCAAAAGGGTGTCACAACACATCGGCCACCTCCCTTCTTTCTTCCGTGATCAACAAAATGCACACATGGAAAGGAGTTCACACATCATTGCTAGGCAGAGTCCTAGCCCTGAACAACTCAATTGTAGCCATGATGTGGTACGCCATTTCCATATGGTTCCCATCTGACGACTTACAATGCCAAATCAGGAAAACGTCAGCGGCCTTCCTATGGTCAGACAACCCGGACAACCAATCCTTCATTCATAAGGTGGCCTGGCAAACAATTACCCAAACCAAATCCAAAGGTGGATTGGGCCTCCTAGACCCAGCTTGCCAGATCCAGACCCTCCAAATCAAGTGGATTCTGAGAATCTCTCTTCAGGAGACACTACACTAGGCTCCTCTTGCCTTTAGCCACATCAGGGAACTAGCCCCATTCAAATCCCCGAATAACATGTCATGACTTTTCTGGCACTGGCCGCTTCCCAAAAGCAAAAGAAACCCACACCTACGTCAAGACAACGCACAAGTTAACGAACCCTCTAAGTCCCTTTGAGCCCAAATCCCTCGCATTTGGAGAAACATATTCCCAAAGAACAGAATCGGGCCCAAAAGAAGAGATGAAGTCCTCAGACAACCACTCTTTGGGAACCCTTGGATAAAAAATGAGAAAGGAGAATCTTACCCTCAACATCTCGGGGAAGAGACTTCCAACGCTTGGAAATCTAAGGACCTGAGTATAGCACTGAAAGGTACCCACCATCTTCAATCGTGCATCAATCAGATCATCAAGAGCATCCCAATAGAATGTAGGTGTCTACTACATTCAGAACAGAAATGGCAATACGACGATTGGGTCGTAATAACACAGCGGAAGACAATATTGGAAGCCCTGAAATTCAAATCATACGAGACCCAAAACAATAAATGGATATGCTGTGACATCTTCACCCTCGACGAGCCAGGCAACCTGTTACGGACTCCGCCAGGGCTCGATCCCTGGTCTATCTTTCTGCTGTTTCGGCTGCATCCCGTTTTCGGCCTGGCACCCTTTTTCCAAACCCCTCCTTTGGTACCGTAGGATTTTGGACAACTGGCGCCATGCTGCAATTCGGGCGCCACTTTCAAATACCGCATTTTTCAGTTCTGCCCTCGGAGCCTTTGCAGTAATGCCCCTGGTACCGTACGTGTCACCGGTACTTATACCGGCTCCCCGTACGGTACGGGGACCAGTCTCATACCGGTTTTCTGCTGCTGTACTCGTACTCAGTGTGACTTGCTGTTTCGGCATTCGAAATACAAGACTTCAACTTTGTGCCTTGCCACTGTGTCTGCGTCCGGTCGAGTTCAGTCGCGTGAGTGAGTGTGTGTGTGTGTGTGCTCTCACTCTCTCTCTCCCTCTGCTTTCTCCTCGTCCTCTGCCTCTGCGCTCGTTACACAACCCATCAAGCTACCTCAACATAGAAAGCAGAGCAAAAGCATCATTCACAACAAACACCCCGCGAAGAATAAGGGTCGTCGAAGGGGACAAAAACAGGGTTTTTAAGCCGCAGTCAAGTATACAGGACCTGGAAATAGATCCAACAGAATGGTCTTGGAGTATCCCCAATCGCCTCTCCACCATGCCATGTCTCCACAAGCTAACAGACTACAAGCCCAAACTAGGCTACCCTCTCTTTTCAAAACCCAACTCAATTACCAACACCCTACAAAAAAGGTGGACAAAAGAAGAGACTACACTAGCTGAATCTCAAATATTCCCACCATGGCCATCAATTTTCTGCACCAGGCCATTGAAACTAGCCGATCTGCGATGGCTGATAGCCTTCAGGGCAGTCCCAGTGAACCACTAGCTGGCACAAAGACGACGTAAAGAAAACAGAACAGATCAAGAATCTTGGTGCAAAGTCTGCAATCTACAAACCACTGCTTCTTTGACTCTGCCCAGAGGCCAGACAACTCTGGCACGAAATAGAGAACACCTGGAGTACCCTCTCTAACACGTCCGTCACAATAAGCCCTGGCACTATTTTCCTCGAACTGGAACAAAACCCTCCTCTCAAAGGTTTCGAAGCATTCTTCTTCTCCCTTATCAGGAAAGGAGTCCTTTGGGG